CCCACACACACACACACACACACACACACACACAGTAAAGGGGGCATTTGAAAGTAAATCATATTTGTGACATAAGGGTGTAAAATAAGGAGATATGGGTAATTATTTTCACAATAATAAAGTACCTGTATTTCCAGCATCGTCTCCTCCTCCTTACAGATGTTGTTTTTTTTCTCAATCTGGCTGTCCCCCCTCAGGAGGGCCTCCAAGGCTGTGGCCTCCCCTGGGGGCCCCTCGCGCTTCGGGGCCATCTCAGCTTCTGAAGTGGCAGAAGAGAAAAANGTGTGTCCTTCCAAGTGCACATATATTTTAAAGCTGTTTTTACTACTTGTCATCCTCACTTCGACCTTTTTAATCGTAGTGTTTACTGACTGTGTTTATATATAAAAAAAAAAAAAAAAGTTTAATTACCGTAGTTACATTTTCTTTAAAGTTACATTTTGCAGAAAGTTCTTCTATAAAAAAAATCTTAAAATTTGTTTCATTTTGGTTGAACAACATTCAATTGACCGAAGTGGTGAACATGTATCAGTATCAATGTGGACAGTGTGTACGTGTTACCTCTGCATAGGATGTTAAGGGAGATTTAGTAACAGCAACACCAGGTGCACAGGAAGAAAAGAGAAAACAATGAGCCAAAAAAACAAAAAAACTGCTCATAGTATTATATCTCCAGGATCTGGCTTCTACTTTTTCATTTCCCTAAGATGAACTTGCTGCAGCATTGACTCTCTGTCTTCGTCTTTGAACTCTAAAACCAGGATGATAACAGATTAAAACAGGGAGTGTTTCTTTCCCCTCCTCCTCCTCCTCTCATTTCTTTGTGTCTATTTGTGTGGGTTGACTTGCTGGCACTGACATGACATTTCCTCCCTCCCCTCAGTCCCTAAACCTGCACCCCCTCCCTCCTCTTCTACAGTACTTTGTTTCCCCTCTCCCCCATTTCTCTTCACCCTCCTTCCCCTTCCCTTGACTCTCCAGGGCAATGTTCTGCTTTGCCAGCAAAAAGCTTAGAAAGGCCCTAAATCCCCATACAGGAGGCAAACATCCATACTTGCTCACACATATCATATTGATCTAGAACCACTACTGAATTTAAAAGAGCCCTCCACTCTATTTAAAACTGGAGGTGTAGGGTTTGAAAGAAGGGGCACTGAGGGCCACTGGAGACTCCATGAATACAAGCAATTACAGTGTGGTGATTTGATTCTAAAGTTTCTAGACCCCCCGTGGTGATAAACAAAGAGGGAGAAATTATCTCTCTGTACTTTAGGTCACAGCATACCCAGCTAGGATGCAGTTGAGATGGAAAAGCTAGCATCCATAGAAACTTCTCCCGTATCCATTTATAATCCTTCTTAGTAAACACATCACAAATGTCTCAACCCAAGCATGTAGTAGAAATCATATATTGTAAATGAGGCAACATCCTCAATGTTATTCCGATATAATCAGGGTTGCACATAACTGGTGCGCAGGTGCGCATGCGCACCTCCGCCAAAAAAAGAGCACCGGTTCATTTGAAAAAAGGCGCATTTGCGTACCCACATTGAGAGAGAGAGAGGGAGAGAGAGAAGGGAAAAGAGAGGAGAGAGGAGAGAGAGAAGAGAGGAGAGAGAAGAGAGGAGAGAGAAGAGAGCAGAGAGGAGAGAGAGAGAGGGAAAGATATTTGCGAGTTGCATATGAACTCAGGGCCGGCCCGTATCACTGGCGTTATAACTTTTCGCCTAGGGCGCCAGATCTGGGGAGGCGCTGCGCTAGCTCTGGGAGGGAAAACACATTTTCGACCGTTGGTGCTCATCCTAATTTTCGGCCTTGATGTAACAATATTCATAATTAAGTAAATGTAACACCCTTTTCACCCCGGTTACACGTTTCATTTGCCCTGTACGATGGGCGCTGTAAGTGATGAAAATGGGGGATGTTGGCTTATCTGGCGCCCGCAGCTCACAGCCAAAGTGCGAGTGAGCGAGGGAGAGAGGGAGGGTGCACCGGTACCGGCTCTGTTGTTATTAGAATCTGGTGCTAGCTGCTTTAACGGATATAAGAAGAAGATGTGTAAAATAATGTGGAGGGAGAGTCCTCTCCAGTCAGACTGAGAGGCTGATAACTAAAGCTCAGTGAGGTAAAGGACTCTGAGTGTTTAGATAGTTAACTTTAGTCTAAGTTCAAACGGTTTGGTCACAATTTATGTAAACACATATTTCCAAGGCACTCCTTTATAATTATTGGGATAAACAGGTTTGAAATCATTCCAATGTATACTATTAGGACAGCAACCAAAGCATCCATTTAAAACTGGAGAGATGCATAAATAATAAATGTTAAGGTAAAATAAGATATGAATGAACAACACAAATGAAATAAGTTACATTAATTTGTTATTGGCTATGGTAGGTTATTGGTTATGTTCATTGCATGTGTGTTCTGTGTTCACCTCTGCATGTGTGTTCAGTGCCGTGTGTCTGGCAAATAAAGTCAAGACCTCCTCAAAAGTTACGGTTTATTTCATTTTAAGGATGAGCACCAAGCAACATCTCCAGGTGCTCCTTTGAGAACCAGGGCAAAAAAGTTATGTGTACCCCTGGATATAATGCTTATCATGCTATGACGTAAAATGTTTTAGATTATAATGACAAGATTAATACTATTTTATTAAAACAATAACGTGACAAGTTTACATATCGTAACAGCGTAAATATATCTTGTTATAACCTGAAAATATCACATTATAATGTTAAAAAACCTTTTGCATTAACAATACACTTGTTTTATGTCATAGCATGAAACTGAATAGTTTTGCTGCCGTATTCGAGAGAATTGAGGGTCTAAAGGAGGATGCTGTTTCGGTTGCATTATTGGAAATGTGATATGCAGAATCTTTTTGTGCTTGACCGATACGAGGGAGCAAAGTGAGGGATTAACTTTATTTAAGTACAACACTGGAGTTACCATTTAATGTAAACCAGCAAATGAAATTACACCCCTAACATCAAAAGTACATTTTAAGAAATATGATTTAAGAAAAACATGAGAAAACAAATATCATGGAAGAGATTAACTTTAACTGCATGCTAATTGCCTTTTGTACATCGAAACATGAATGTCAAGTATCGCAAACATCGCATATGTATTTGCTTGCCTCTATTTTGTAACATGCAGCAGATTAAACAGTTTATACAGAGGGGAGAAAAATGGCTGCTAAGGCATGACCACTAACATGTGGAGCCACAACACAAATGGAAGGAGAGGATCTCCCGTACAAAAACCTGTTTATATATTATAACCTCATGACAGAGCCTCTGTGTTTACCCCTCGGCACAGGAAGCATTAAATAAACAAACCACGTGCCAAACCCGGCCCGTTTTTTTGTTGCTTTTCCACTAGGGGTAGTTCCGGCCCAGGGCTACTTTTTCACCGTTTTTCTGGCTCTCCAAAATCGAGGTTCTTACCGGGCCAACAACCGGGCTGAATATGCTAAACTAGTGCCTTAAACACTCTAGACTGCTGAATGGTCAGACAGAATCGCTGGCAAGAGGGCTACAACTACAACAAAATGAACATATTTTACCGTGATTTAATTGTAATACACGTTTCAAAATGATGCCGAAGTAACAACCATACTGATTAGTTAGTAAAAACCATGAATGAATGCTTTGACAAGTCTGCAGACAGACGGCAGGCAAAAAACCTTTTAAAATGCGTTTTTTCTGAATGAAGATCGGCGAAGCTAATGCAGTACATGCTCCGACCGTAAACACTCACAACAACGGCCTATACAGACATAAATAAACCAGCGACTGTATTCGTGTTTTGTACTTGTTTAACTTTTGTCTAGTTTCTGAACAGATATGAGGAGCTGTGAGCTTGAGTGCTAACAGCTAACGTCTGATGTTGTTTTTCTGTGGTTCGCATTGAAGATGACGTCACGGCTCCGCCTACACTGCGTTACTATAGTTACTGCCCCAGCTACTAAACTGTAATGGAAACGCAGCATAAAGTGAGCCTGGCCTACCAAGGCCCAACGATACCGTACTAAGCCGTGCGAGGCCCTGAAGTGGAAATGCGCCATTATATTCCTCTGTTGTGTTATGAAAGATATCTGGGCCAAACAGCAGAAATGGATCTCTGACAAACAAAACTGAAGACTTTTGCTGTTCACACTGCAATTGCTTTGTTTCCCTTGTTTTAGTAGGCTCATTTTTGGGAGTTTCTTCTCTTATTTTCCACCCAAAATGCCTCTTCTGCTTAAAGCTGAATTGCTCTTGGTTGAACGCTCGAGTATTAAATTGCGTCTGCAAAACAGCGTGTTGGAAACAATAAATGTGGCAAAGCCGAAACAAAGACTTTATTTCTCCCCCTTATCAGGTTCCTGGGGCATTCCTCTGCTAAAATCTCCTATAACACACACACACACATATATGCATGGACACACACACACATGAAAAAATGCTCTCACTTCCACCTCATAAGACTCACTTACATTCTAATGCCTCATGGTCAAATGATTATAGAGGCCCAGTGAGGGTGCTTCTGTGCTGCAACGGAGAGCGAGAGTCATGTGTGGGGGTGTTTGTGCACGTATGTGTGTGTGTACTGCCAGAGAACAGTGAGAGGAGGCATTGATTCAGGGGAGAGAATGAACCTGGAGACCTGGCGAGAGAGACGGGCTAACCAGAGCCAGATGGTCAGATAGCGAACATTAAGGCCGCTGAGCACGCCTTAAGATCTCTGCAGCCACAAAAGAGCACAAAAATCAGAAACACAGCCAACATTTGCATGTAAGTGACGGTAGAGTGTGTGAAAAAGGAATGGATGCACCAGTTAAAAAGGCTTTCATTGTCAAATTGTGGGTCGATACTTCTGCGGATATAGTGTGTGTTTGTGTGTGTGTGTGTGTGTGTGTGTGTGTGTGTGTGTGTGTGTGTGTGTGTGTGTGTGTGTGTGTGGTGTTTATCTTACCTAGTCGAAGCTCACATAGGCGGAGCTGGGGATCTAGGGGAGGGTGGAGTCGCCTCTTCTTTCTCCAGCAACGGGCAGGGTAGGTATACATCTGTCCTGCTGCCTGGCCTGGACACACACACACACACACACACACACACACACACACACACACACACACACACACACACACACACACACACACACACACACATTAATTAATATATAAAGACACACACACATGCAGAGAGACAGGCGCAGGCGCACAGGAAGAATCTTTACAACCATTGGCAGGCCTATAATTTTAACAAAACTTTAATTGAGACCCCGTCATACACACACATAAACACAAACACACACACGCTCGACTAGTGTTGTTTTCGTGACATTTAATATGTCCCGCTTTCAGTGCTCTGGCTAATGGTCCACATATTTAGAAAAATCTCTTAAACAGACATATCAGTGTAGAGGATGCTAACATTTAGTTTTACTCTAATAACCAATTGAAATCACTTTTTCAGCAAAGCAGACTTCTTGTGCTTGATTTAAATATGTTGGTATTTCTGTGTCAAATCATATTCTACCATTAGTCAATAGAAGTGATTTAAGCTTCTTTATTCTCTGTCAGCATGAGCAGAAAAAAAAGAAGAGGGAGGGGGAGGGATAAACCCAGAATAAATGCATATAATGCGAGTTAGGTCTGCCACAAAGTATAGGGTGTGGCCTGAAGGGCTTTGCATATGAGATGGAGAACAGGCTATTTGTATCCAGCTCTCGGTAAAGGGCAGATTGTTGCCTTTGGTTGAGCAGGCAGCCCAGATGTATAATCTGACAGCATGTCTCAGAATAAAGCAGCAAGTGGTAACTCATGTAATATACAAAAGAGGGGTTGATTTGCCTTTTTATTGAGGTTAGACATCATATCAGATAAATTAAATCTTTTCAATCCATCTATATTTATGCGTATTTGCCTTTCCTGCAGAGAAGATTTATACCACTCTTTGTCATTCAATGTACACCCAGCGGCCAGTTAGCCTAGCTTAGCATAAAGACTGGGGGAAACTCTGTTTATAAATTAGATATTAGAAAGGATTTCTACTTGTTTGCCTGGTGGCCAAAGTTGAATGACTCCAGAAAATCACTCAAAATAGTTTGACACATGGATTAAACAAGCATATGTTTAAGCTTGCTGTTTTCCATTGTTTTCGTTCTCTATGCTAAAATAAGCTTACTAGCTGTCTATCCATAAGTTAGCGTACAGATATGAGAGCAGTATCTATTTCCTCATCAAACACTCTGGAAGAAAGTGACAAGCATATTACCCCAAATGTCAAACTGTTGTTTATATATTTGGAGCTACAGTGTATCAGTAGCATCATTTGTTCAGTTTAGATGGCGTTTCGCACCTGGCTGGCGCTGGCATTTTTCCATCCAGATGTAGCAGTTGTTTTGCGCCACACCAGTCTGGGAGTCCAGGAAGGGCATGCGCACGCTGCGTTCAGCGCAGAGACGGGCATTGTAGCTGCGACAGTGTTCGATTGCCTCCCTATAGAACTGGTCACCAAGCCTGAACAGAGACAAACAGACAAAAGGAGAACGTGGAAGGTTATATCAGTCAGATTGAAACACAAACAGGCTTTTATTCATTTACTTCTACATTAACTGCCCCATTCTTTTAACATTGGACTCAAGTTACCCACAGGTAACATTATAGTCGTATGTCTGCCATGGATTTAAGCTATTTGCAGCACACAGCTTCGATTTCTGCTTTCTATAAACTGAGTCATCACTGCTCTTAAAGTCCTATCACCTAAATGCTAACGTTTTTTGGATGTTAAATGGTAATGACATGTGCTGGAAGGCTGATGATTTCTTAGTTCCTGCAAATCAAGGGCCTGTTCTTTCCAGCTTAACTTTAGCTAAATACAACGCGCCCATACCCCACTTCATATTTTGGCTCAGTTTGTTGTGTAAAGTCTGGATTTGCTGCAGAAATCCGACAAAGCATGAAGCTGAAAAGGAACATTTACGAGAGCTGGCTGGATAAGAATAAGAAGAAATGTTTCATCCTATCAAATTGATGGAGAAGTGAGTGTGAGATCGAATTCCACACAGCAGATGGGCCACACACACACGCACGCACGCACGCACACACACACGCACACACACGCACACACACGCACACACACGCACACACACGGGCATAAATCAGGATTAGAGCCATCAATAACCTCCACTCTAGAGGGAAGATTTCTGCAGCTAAGATCATTAGCGACAGACAGGAAAATAACAAGATTAGCTCACATTTGTTAAAAATAAAATATCAACTTTGAGAGAGTAATTCTTCATATAATTACAGAGCTAAAATTCTGAGCGGAAGATAGAGGATAGATATTTTTAATGGGATGATCCAAACCATAGCCAGCATGGGCCCGCATGTCTTAGCTCCAGAAAAAAAAAAAAAAGTCAACCGTCTTTTGGCACAGTTTACTGTTTAGTTTTCCAAATGATACACAACATACCATTTGCAGTTAATATCTCCTAAGTATGGTTTAAAGACGTAATTCTCTATAAGGGACTATGAGTTCTGATAAAGAAAAGTTGAAGAAAGGAAGAAGAATGGCACTAATTTCTCTGTCGGTGGTTTACCCGAACCAGAAGGATCTTGCCTGTCTTTCTATTTCTGTGCATCCATCTATCTGCCTGCCAGTCACCCTGTCTGTCTGACTGTCTGTCTGACTGGCCGAGCACAGATATGTAAAGAATTCCAAGCTGGACAAAGACCAGAGGTCTGGTCGAAGTGACTCTCACAAAGATGTGCAGTGTTTGGAGGTGGAGGGGGCGTGGAGAAGGATAGGGGAGGAAGGGAGGGAGGGAGAAGGGTGAGGGGTTGGAGTAAGCAGCAGCAGGGAGAGAACCAGGTAAAATGGAGAAACAGGGAGCACTTAGATTAGAAGACAGGTCTGGAGAAGGGGGCCAAACATGTGGTAGAAAAGAGGAAATTCAAAAGGCAACAAAAGTAGGATATAGAGCGCAAAACAAATATATTCTATCTCTAGAAGGAGAACACTGATTTATTGAACGGACTCCTAAGTGAAATCATGACTTCCTTATTAGTGGCAATAGAAGACATATTTGCTTTAACTAATCATCAACAACATCATCAGCGTCTTGATTGGTTCCACATAAACTTCCCTTAACAATGCGATTCTGTTTGCCTCTAAGTGGCAAAGTCCATTTCACAATAAAAGCCCTAGACATATACATTAAATCCCTGCCTACCAGAGAGCATTCCTCATTCACGACTTGAAAATACTAGAGGGGGAAAGGTTTAAAATAAAAATCAGTTTCCACTTCGAATACTATAACAAACGTATTTATATACTTATATTAAGCTAAAACATTGTTGACCAAGTGTGGCTTTGTTTAGTCTGTTTCAATAAGGGTTAATGGTTCAAACTTCAATCGGAGTCTCGAAGAAAATATGTTTCAAAACGTAATTGAGAATGCGATTTAGTTGTATCATTTGGTAGGAGACAGCGTTGAAGAAACATATATAGAGCTAACAACTTATATTCTATTTTAAGAGGCAGAAAATAAGTTATTTAACATGCTCCTTAGTGAAATGATTTCAATGATTTCATTTTATCTAAAAAAATTAACAATTGAAAAGATGATAATAGCTCTAAAATATACTGATAAGTGATCACATGTGGCTGACAAAAATCTGGTCCAGCTATTGGGATATTCAGCCAGTTGAGAATCCAGGAAGCCACTGCTATTGGATGAGAAAGATTCAGCCATGCAACCTCTCCTAAAATCCCCAAATTGTTGTTTTTACAGCAGCACAGCAAAAAGGAAAACCTGTATAGAGGCTTTGTGTTCACCTTCAGTGCCACAGTTTATGTATAAGGTCTGGACTTGAACACATGTGGCGTCTGATGGCTGTGGTTTGTGTCAGGAGACTTACAGAAACGAGGAAGGCAGCTGTTTTCTTTTGGGTGACACATGTTTTTACTATATGACCAAGCGGCAGGCGTAGCGATCAAGTCAAGTCCAAATGTCCAGAAGAGACTTCCTGTCACATAACTCACATTCCCAGAGGTGGAGCGTTATCTCTACTTTCACTATTTGTTTCCTGAGCTGAAGTGTGTGTGTGCGTGAGTTGACCTACAGGCATCTGTCTTCCCAACTTTTCTTCCTCACTCTTCCTCCCTGTGTCATCCCACATATATTTCTGTCTCACTTCCAGCTACAAAGCGTCTGTGTAACGTCCCCGGGCGACTTCATAAACTCTTACATAAGCAAGCGTTCGTGTCTGCTCCTTTGACTGCATTTGTCTGGGAGGTGTGTTCATGTGTTGGGCTAATTGAGCTTGTGTGTGTATCTGCCTTTCCCAACCCGCGGACCAGATTGAACCATCAGAGATTGTACTGTCCTCCTGTTTGTACCCATTAGTCCACTGTATGGCTGATCCGAGTGATGGAGCTTATGTAAGTGGAGGTTTGCATGTTGTGGAACACATTCCTCTTGATCGACAGTTTCCTGGATACTGATGGAATCTGCAGTTACTGTGTGTGTGTGTGTGTGTGTTTATACCACTGTGATTGTCTCAATTGCTCCCATACTAGCACAGAGGAGTGCTTTGTTTGTGACAGTCTTTCAATGTTTCTAGGTAAAAGCTCATGGACATTATACATATTCAAAATTACATTTAATCCTTATATAGCTCTATTAATCAGACAGCACAGCATATTCTCTTTCTCATTGCTGAATAACATCATTTATTAGTAAAACTCATCAGTATGAATGAAATCTCTGACATACCTTTGTTTTTCCTTCCTATTTTCCACAACAGACAGTATAAAACTTGACGTAGCCTAAAGATTTAAAAAAACAAAACCAATGCAGAAAACCCTTGAATTTAAAGCTATAGCAACAACAACAACAACAACAACAACAACAACAACAACAACAGTGTAGTTTAGAGTAAAATACACAATTAAGCAGGGTATAGGATGTGCCTACCTTGTTGATTGATTGATTGATTGACTATATTACCAATCAATCAAGATAGAGGGCTTAACGATGCATATCCCTTCCTGGCCCCATTGTCTTGACTAAATATGGTAATTTCATGCTCCAAAAAAACGAAATGGCGACGGCCAAAATGCCAAACTGGAGGCTTCAAAAATAGGCGTAGTGTCTTCATCCACTTCTTAAATACAGTCTATAGTGTTGACAAGTTATGAAGTGACTGATCTGATGTGACACATTTTATTCAAGGCTGTAAAATAGTGATACCATTTTAGGCCTGAAACGATTAAATTAACAACATTTCAGCGGCAACAACTATCGGAAAAATGATTCAAACCAAAAATGCCAAACATTCCCCGATTGGTGCTTCTACACTGTGAGTTTTGTTGTCTTTAATTTACCCTTTATGATCGTATACAAACTATTTGTGTGGTTTTAGACTGTTAAACAATCAATTTTAACAAATGAAGTTGATCATAATAGAAATGTTTCCCTATGTTTTGACATTTTGCAAACCATAAAACCCTTCTGATTAATTAAAGATGGAACAATGCTGTTGTTTTTCTTTATTGGGTTAGAGCAAAATAACAAAACACTAATTTTGCTCGAGGCAGGAGGTGTTTTGTCAGTCTTGTCTCAGTTTACTATCACACCTTTGTCAATCATTTTAATGAGCTCTCTGCTTTGAAGCAGCATCTCGCTGATGGCTGAGGTTAACGCATCCACCAGAGAAAGACACAGGCGAAACATATACAGAATTGTAAGATCAAGAACATATTTTATAAAGTTGTATTAATAACAAGAAATACAATTGAATGTCTTCGACTATGTTTATAGCGAAAACTGGAACATTAAAGTAAAATACTCACATCAGTCTCTGCATGGTGATCGGCTTAAGGTTTTACGCTGGATTTCACTCGAAAAGATGAAACCCCTGATTAGATGTACAGGTCTGACATTGTTTTTAGTTAGAGAGTGTGTGTGTGAGAGAGAGAGAGAGAGAGAGAGAGAGAGAGA